CCTCCCATTGGGACTTCGGCTCATTGAAGTCTAATGCCCTTAAAGCTTCCATTCTACAATCGTTTGAGCTTGCTGCCGGGGAGTCTCTGTTCCTCCCTACCTTTTACTCCTGTCTGATCAGTCGAACCTACCGCATTCGAGTCAGTCTAGCAATAGGCGCTTATGGCAATACGATTTCTCTCATGGTACCACTACAGGTGGCGGTTAATGGACTTGACGATACTCAAAATCATGATCACTTGAGCTCTGTGAGTGTAATAGTCCCTCTTTAATTCGGTATAAAAGTTCTAACATGACAAGATTACTCTCGATAGTGAATACGAACAAATAGGGGAAGTTCTTCCCCCATATAGTCGTTTGAGATAAGAATACAATTTCAGGTCTCGTGATTTAGTACAAGATAATTTAGTCTGTCTTTCCATAACATTGCAGCGCGGTGCTACCTTGATAAATAAACAACTGTCCTCCAACTTTGAAGAACCAACAGTACATTGGTCCCCATGTTGACTCAATACAGTGATTGCGGTTTGTCATCAGAGATAAACAATCAATGCTTCGGAAGCCTTGAGACTCACTTCTAATTTTCCCTTCTTGACTGAAAACTTTTCAGTATTTTGCTTTCCGCTCAACTCGCAGTTCTTGTTTGAGAAGGACTGACCTGCATAAATTATTAAGTGAAGTTTTCCATGATGGATAGGTTACTGAGACATACCTCCGATGCTAGGCTGGGGAGATGACTTGGTCTGTGTGATAGGTACAGTTGTTTCACTACTCGGTCCGGTCATGCGGAGGGCCTTGACCGAATTGGTTCTCAGCCCACTGAGAGTGAACTTGGTTTCAGAGCGTGTGCCACTGCCAGAGTAGTAGTCTGTGTTTATCAAAACGACCTTGAATGCTTTTCCGCTCTTGTAAACGATGTATTGAGCATAAGGGTCAGTGCCATCGTCGCTGGCAACGATGGAGTCTCCTCCAGCCACAGCGAGAGCACCGAAGTAGGCACCATAGAACGGGGCATTTACATGATCACTCCACCACCAGTTGAAGAAGGCTTAGAGGTTAGTGAGAAGTGTTTGAGTATCTGGGGCATTTATTGAACTTACCCTGGTTGATCGTGCCTTGGTGATAGAACAGTCGCTGAATACCAAGAGTCAAGGCGCGAAGGGTCTTGTCAGTTGTCTGAATGGCCGACCCAAAAGTGGAATCCATTTCATAATCGAGTCCATGGAATCCGGTTTCACCTGAGTGGTATATGAGTAGATGCTGGGATATACAAGGAGTATGCGAAGCCTTACCTAGGATGTACGGTCTTCCAGCAGCCTTTGCATTTGAGATGGGCAGCAGGTTCAGATCCTGGACAACTCTCTGATGTTTCATCTCAGGACCCAAGTCATCAGCGGAAGCATTGGAGAACGCGTACAAGTGGCCATTGTACACTTTGGTAGCTTCTTTAACTGTCTTGTTGTAGCTATGTTCAATGAGATAGGGCAAATTAGGCCAATCAGGTTCGATTGCAAAGGGGATGGCATATCCACCTCCAGCTAGGATGGGAAGAGGGCTCTTCCAATGGTTAATGAAGTCTTGCGCCCAGTCAGCTGCATTGCTTCCCTCCTGAGTCTCGTTCCAGGGAGCTTCGGCCACTGGGTACTCCCAGTACTTCCAGTACACTGTAGGAAGGAGTTAGCGACGCCTAATATTCACAGTATGTTTGTGAGAGATCACACAATCAGGCTCATTTCCGAGTTCGATTGCCCAAAGATACTTGGCCACCTTTTCCTTGGCTTTTAGAACGGCAGCAAAGGTGTTTGTCCTATTGTTAAGTCCTCGGTTGAAGCCTGTCTCTTGTTAGTGTTTTTGATTCCCTAATTAACGCGCTAAGTCAATTACCAAGAATGGTCTCGCTTCCAAACTTCCCTGTTCAAGTTTGCTAATCAGTATAAGTTTTCTAAAGTATAGAAATAGGACGTACTAATCAGATCGAAGAACTTTGGCCCATAGGTCAGACTCATAGGAGCCTCCAGAGGGTCATTGACGCTATATGAAACATAGCCTTTAAAAGCAGGGTCGTAAGTCGCCCTGTCTTGCGTTGTTCCTCCGATGCGAATAGGCATTTTCCGGTTATATAGCATGTTAAAGTGATCGATACAAGGAAGGGTCAGCGAGATGTTGGTCATGTAGGAGGGCCACATGAAAAACTCGAATCTGTTAATGGAATTAGATCATTCCAGTAAAGTAATTCACATCCAGGTACTTACGAGGCCCCCACAGGCGCTGGATTAATCCCAACGGCGCTTCCCGGCTGAGCATCAGGAACGGCATAGTGAGGAGCTGCTAGAACGGGGCTTCCTATAGCAAAGCTTGCAAGCAAAAGATTATAAACCATCATATAATATAGACCAGTAAACGTCAATTTGCTATCTGTCGGTTTTTTCTGTCATAATTATAATGAGGATTATTTAACGTATTATATGTCTTTCTCTTAAGCCTTTTGTGTTCGGGTTATGTTACTCCGATCTGGAAGCGGATAGGTTAAGTAATAAGGATAACTTGTCTCAAACCTTGCCAAAGCTTTACCTAATGTAGATTTAGTTCTTTACCTTCCCTGCAATCCCCGTAGTCTGGTAATATGGGGTTCTTATTTGGTTTAACTTACTTAGCCCGTTTAATCCCTGCACTGTTTATCAGATGACTTAGAACCACAATCTGGGTACCCTCTTAGGCACGGATTGTGTAATGCCGCTTCCCCACAGCTCCCCGAGGAGGTAGCTCGCTATCGGTTCAACAGTGGCCGAGAAGTGATTAGTTTTATGGTTCTACAGTAAGATCAGCTAGCAATAACCTCGGCCTTCTTTTACGCCTTAGCGTATTCTCAATCACGACATTGTCAAGTGACATTAATTGGGATTTCTCAGTTTGCTGGCTTGATATATACTGTTAGGTTGGAAGTGTTATTTACGGTTAAGACTTATAGCTAAGAGCTTGAATCAGCAGAGAGAACATAGGGATATTATAAGCAAGCTTTAACTATCGACCAATTCTCCTAATATATCAAAGAACAGCAGACACATTGCACTCCAGAGATGACCGCACTAGCTAGTGGACTACCATAGCGCTTACACACGAGTCCTTTGATATGTTGCGGCACTTCTGTCTAGTAGCAGATTTGGCAGTAAGTATCCCTTGTCCTTGCTGTTTCCAATGCGTCCAATAATGAGTCTAATGCTTGCCAATGCGGACTCTTTATGATTCAGTCTTGGAAGTCTATCGCGCTAATCTCTATATAAACTAAGATAGTATATTAAGATTTACAGACGGATTCTGGCTTAGGTGGAACGTAAAAAGACTTGCGGGGCAGTGTGGCTTAGGAATTACATACAGGTAAGTAGTCGGAAGCAAATTGACCCCGGCCACAATATGTTTGTCAACCCTACTTACCCCCGTGTTCTGTCATCTCCCAATCAATGCTCATGTCTTCCTGGGCGGCAATTGTCTCAAACCCAAAACAGGTCCGTACAAAAAGAAGAAGTGTTGGCCGCGATTGCCACAGTGGCAAGAAGGTAATAACAAGAGCAGTACCCCATGCCCAAATGAATGTGATCGCCTGGTATGCATTAGTAAGTGTTATTAAATAGACAATTTACTGGTTACTTACCACCCAGCCTTTAAAAAAAAAACCCTTAGAGAATATATAGGAAGTGCCAAATATAGGAAGTGGCCATAAAACTATCATGCTTATGAAGAATATTATCGTGGCAAGGATGGTCTTGTGTGTTCCCCTCTCAAGAAGCGCGTCTATCTTAGGACTTAGAGTTTCCGCCAGGGCCTGCTCCTCTACTTGATATGCAGTTATTCCTTGAATATCTATGCCATTGGAAGTATGGATGCCTGTCTAAAGAAGAGTCAAATTAAACTGGTCGTACCGAAAGCATAGGTAATTGCGACAGAGAAAATGATGCCTGAGAGCACAGAAACCACCTTTCCAATCAAAAGAGGCAAGACCTGGCCTGTCGAGGAGATTGTTACTTCGCCGTGTAGGGTATGTGCAGAACCCAGCCATGATGTAAGAGAGGTGATTGAACCCAGAATCGGGGCCTAGATTACGGCGTGCTTGCTTTGCTTCTTCATTAGGAGAGTAGTATAGAAAGGGAACACAGCACAACCACAGAAGATGCCAATACAGGTCACGATATAGTTGACACTAATCGCGGTTCTTGAGATACCTGTAGCAATAACAGCTATAAGTAGACTCTATATAGCGACAGCAAAGTGCGACATGCGAACCAACTGTTTTCTAGATGCCTTGTTGTTGAAGTAGCCTTTGTAGATGTCGTAGATGTAGACCGACGTAATGGAAATAGTGTCAGCACTAAGTCCAGAAGTATAAGCTATAAAGACTATAATAAGAATAAGGACTAAACCAGGATTGCCTTATAAATAAAGTGGGGGTAACTGTATATTGTAACTAGTCCTAATTAGGATATCGGCTATACCTAATTAGGTTAGTATATCTTAAGCTATATTAAACTATGTTAAAAAGTGGGTATAACTGTAATAAGCTATAATTAATCTTAAAAAGGTAATTATAGTAATATATAAATTATATTTAATTTAAATTTACTTATAATAAAAGATAATAGTTTATACTTACTTATATCTTAACTATTACTTATATTATATTATTTTATAATTTAATTTAACTTATTATTAATTAACTTAATTAGGTTTAGTTTATTAATATTTATGGTTTTTTCTTTAATACTAAAATCTTTATTCTTTAATTTACTTTTTTTTTCTTTCCTATATAATATATTTATAATTACTTATTATAAATATTTTATATACTTTATAAATATAAATTAAATATAGATTAAATATAAATTAAATATAAATTAATTTATATATTTTAAAAACTAATTAATTATAACAATATTTATTTTAAAAACTAAACTATTAATTTAAATAATAATTATCAAAATATTCCTCCTTATTTTAATATACCTCCTTTATACAATCTTAGCTATAAGCCTCTTTGCCAACGCGCTTAAACTCTGACTCTGGCTAACATCAAAGATACTCACGTCACGTACCCCACTTGCCGCAAGCCAGTTACGCAGCTCAACCGCAACAAGCGAGTCAACACCCAGCGCGGCAAGCGGCTGTGCCATATCAATGGCTGACGGAGCGAGCACAAACATGTCGGCTAAACGGTGACGTAGGGCATCGACGAGCATCGTGAGCCTGGCCTCATCTGACTCTGCGGCCAAGAGTCTCTCTCCTAGCGACACACTATCGTCCATATCTTCATCCCTATCAATCGCGGCCGGGTTATTGCCCTGGTTCTGCACTGGCAGGGCTGAGAAGCGCCTCTCGCGACGCCACGCAGGCGGCGATGATGATGACGCCCCAGTCTGTTGTCCTGCTGTTGCATCTACTGTCCATTGCGAGATACCTGCTATAACCTGGCCCGCGCGGGGGCACCGGATTGCTAGCTCGATAAGCCATAGCACCTCGCGTATATCATGGAGGCGCCATCCGGCCCGCGCTGCCCGCTCTGCTACACCTGCTGTTTGCTGTATATAGCCGGCGCCTAATACGCCGCCAAGGGCAATCGAGACACCTGGTAATTTCTGAGTGGCTGCAACGCGCCAGCGTGCTTGTGCGTCCTGGAAGGTTGAGACTGCTGTATAGTTGGCCTGTCCGTGGGATCCAACAACGCCTGTGACAGATGACAGGGAAATGAAGAAGTCAAGTTCCTCAGCGGCGAACGCGGCATGTAAATTACATGAGCCACTATACTTAGCCGCAAGCGGCACCTTCCACTGCTGTAATGTCATATCAGCCCAGGCAGCATCAGCAAGTGCGAGGGCTGCATTGATAACGCCGCGTATAGGAAGCATGACGCGGGCTAGGTCGAGGAAGCGTGCCAGGTCAGCGCTGTCAGCTATATCGCATGCATATGGAATCAGCTTGCAACCCCGGGTCTCCAGCTCAGCCGCCAGGGCCTGTGTTTGCTGCGGCTGGTCTGTTGGTCCCCGTCGTGATATAGCAATGACATACCGGGCACCCTCTCGCGCAAGCCAGCGCACTACCTCGCGGCCGATACCAGTTAGTCCCCCGACAACAAGATATGCGCCGCCTGCGTTGAGGCTAAATGCAGGTGTGGTCGTGACCTGTGCTTCTGTTAGCTGGGACCTCTACAAGTGAGTGGGAAGGGGAAATTAACTTACTCCTAATCCACTCTCGCCGCTACCCATTCTGGCCTCTACCTTGTTTTGCATTGCGTACCGCCGCAGACGCGGCACAAGAACTTCGCCCTTACGAACGGCAAACTCGTATTCACAGATACGGTCGTCCTCCATCAGTCGCAGCACGGCGCAGATAGCTTTGACTGAATCGGCGTGCCATATATCCTGCGCTGGGTCCAGGTCTAGGGATACATACCTGTTATGGCCATATTCTAGGCGGAGGGTGCGCAGTAGACCTATACAAAGAGCTGCCCAAGGGTTTGGCGTGTCTATGGCTACACCTCGTGAGACCCAGAGGACTTTGCTGGTTGACAGCGTCAGGGCTTTCAGGTTGTCGAACTGGTCGGTGGTGAGGTCAGACAGAGTTGATATACCTGTGGACAGGACTACAACAGTGGACTCCTTTGTCCTCGAGGAAACTGCCGCATCGAAATAGCATAGATCACTGCCCATCGAGCTATCCAGTGCTGCCTGCAGGCTCTTGAAGTCCTGGGTCGGCACGTCTATTCCAGGCGGAAACGGTGCGAAATCGATTGTCTTCCTTGGTCCTGAAATACGTGCCACTGTTTCCTCGACAGCTGTGGCAATCATGACCGAGTAAGTCGAGTCCCCATCCTCCCCTGCATCCCCTAACACAACATCCAGCCCCCCAAACCCAGCAGCAGCAAGATAGCGTCCCCATTCAGCCGCGCTCACCAGGGGCGAGTCAGCACGCTCAGGTTCCTCGCTCAGCCACCAGCCGGGAAACAGGCCGAAGGCCAGGCTCTGGTCGACATGTGGTGTTGTTGTCTCAACCAGAACTAGCTTGCCGCCAGGCCGAAGGAGCGTGCGAGCATACTTCAGTGTCTGGACCAGGCTCCTAGTGGCATGCAAGCAGTTACACGAGAGCACAAGGTCATATGCACCTGGTATCAGGCCTTGTGCCACAGGATCCCTCTCTATATTGAGCTTCTGGAATGTCATATAGTCAGCATAAGCTGCAAATCGGCGGGCTGCAGGCTCAAAGAAGCCTGCCGAGATGTCAGTAAAAGTATAGTGCGAAGCTCTGTCACCAGGCTGCTGCTCGGCCATAAGTCCCTGCAGAGCGGGTTCAGTACACGAGCCAACACCAGCGCCGATTTCCAGCACGCGGCTGCCGGGATATGTATGTGCGAACAAGTGCATATACGCTTTGACATGGCCCAGGCAACGATTCATCTTGATCATATGGGCGTAGTACTCGGACAGAAAGCCATCACGCATAAGCACCTTAAGTGGGTTAGCCTCGCGGCGCAGGAATGACTGTAGGTGCTTGCTAACAATGGCCAGCAAGCGGCCATCAACGCATAAGGCCTTAACGCGTGCATATAGTTCCCTCCTGTTGCCATTATTAGGCACAGCATGGGCGGCGTAAAATTATAGTAAGGTATTAGGGTTAGGTTTATCTATTATATATAAGATATTAGGTCCTAACTATTATATATATAATCCAGGCCTTACTTTTATATTATATAATTTATCTAAACTTATAGGTAATATAGACCCTAGTCCCTATTATATATATAATTAAGTCCTATTTCTACTAAATATTAAAATCTCTTCTAAAAGTCTTAATTTATATTAATTATAATTTTTATTATCTTTCTCCTTACTTTTATTATTATTATTATCCTTATTATTAATACTATCTTTACCGTTTTTATTATAATATCTATAGATAATAAACTATTAGCAGACTAATATTATTTTAACTTCTATATTATCTTTAGTTATACTATCTAACTTCTCTATAAAACCTTATAGAGATATATAAATATTAAGTAATTCTAAAATAGATATTTTTTATAAGCTATATATATTGCTATCTATAGCTATTTAAACCTTAAGAACTTTTAAGTTCTTAAAAATATTTTATATATTATTACTAGTAAAGAGGAACTTTAGGATAGGCTAAATAATATATATATATAATGCCTTATAAATTCCTAAAAGGTTAAGGATCTTATCTATAATAGTAAGCGCTATAATATAAAACTTATCCTTCTTTTTAATACTATTAATTAAATAAATCTTATTATAGTATATAAAGAGGCTTTTAGAGATAAAAATATAAATACTAGCACTAAATATATCTACTATTACTGCTAGCAGTTATTAAGTATAAATCTTTTTTACTAAAGTGCCTTTAGAAAGATTAAGCTTCTTACTAAAATATTTAACTATTTTTATTAAAAAGGCTAGCTTTATATTAATATTTATTCTATTTTTAATAAAAAAGTCTTTAATATCTTTATTAAATACTATTATAGCTAGATTTAATTAGCAATTCTATTTATAAATAAAAAATACCTTTATATTAACTAATTAAATATTATTAATTATTAATATATTAAGGCTATTATATTAAATAGCTTAAGCTTAATATAAAATAAAACTAAATAGTATTACCTACCTACCTTAATATATCTTATTTACTACCCTACCTATATTTTAATTAAGGTTAGTAAGGTAATACTATAGGTAGTAACTATAAAGATAGGTTAATATATTAGTAAGCTATTTCTAGCTTTAATTATTAAATACCTTATATAAAACGGTAAGACCTATAATATAGATATCTTAAAAAGATAACCTGCCTTTAAAGTCCCTTTTCTATAGCTTTTAAGTAATAACTAAAATATTAAAAGCCTTATATCCCTCCTTTAAATAGTTTATAAATCTATTTTTAGCTTATAAGGCCTTTATTAAAGTAACTAGCTTATTATCTTTACTAAATCTCTGCCTTAATACTTATATACCTATATTAAGTTATATTATAATAGGTTTATTATTAATTTAAAAGACCTATATAGAAATAGGGTTTATAGATAGTTATAAAGGTATATTAATATCTTTATTATTGCCTTTATAATTATTTAATATATATAGAAAGACTTAAGTAAATGCCTAAAAGAGCTAAATGCCTTTTAAGAGTATACCTAAAGGAAAGTATAGCTTTTTTATATAATATATATTATAGCTATCTATCTTTAAGTTACTTTCTTTATTATTAGCTTAAATATAATACTTAATAAGCTTATAGGCTAAATGCTTTAATATACCCTTTTTAATAAGAGATATATACTATTAATTAAAAAACTTTTTAAGCTTTTTTTTATATTTAAAGAGGGTTTTAGGCAGATTAATAAGGCTCTATTTATCTAATACCTTAAATAGCAGCAATATATATTATATTAATAAGCTAGTAGTATTTATACTTAAGATATTATAAAAGGTAAAATCTAAAAGGAAGCTAAATAGCAGACTACTATATATATTAGCATTAAGATCTTATTTAAAGTAAAGTATTTTTTATAAAATAGGCTAGCTTAATTTAGCCTTTAATATATTAAGGTTATTAATAATAAATAAGCCTATATTTAAAAATACTAGTAAACCCTTATTACTTTTAGTAGCTATAATACCTCTACTATCTAGAGTATAGTATATAGATAATTTAAGCCTTTTAGGTTAAAATTTAAATATATTAAAAGGATTTTTAGTATAATTAGGTAAGTAAATATATTTAATAGATTTTATTATAATAATAAAGGTTAGAACTATTATCTTTTTTCTGCCTATTAGTAATATATTATTAATCTGCCTCTTAATAATTATAACTTCTTTTTATAGACTTTTCCTTTTTTTTATTATAGATAAAGGAGGAAAAAGGTTTAAAATAATAAAGTAATAAATATATTTATAATCTCTTAAGGCTATTAAGATATACTGCATTATAGATCCTANTTAAATTATTTTAATTAATCTCTTTATTAAAACTAACTGCCTATTATATATATAATAGTATACTAAATATAATAAGGTTTAAAGGAAATTATATAAGTTATATTTAATTTAATTATTATTAAATTTAGTGCTATAAATATATAGAATATTAAAGGGATATTTAAGGTATTTATTATTTATACTTTTACTTTACTATTAACTACCTTAAATTTAACTTATTATATCTTTACAGTAAAACCTAAGCGATATTTTAAAATAAGATAATAGCTATTACTATATTAAGAATTTAAGTTACTATCTCTATTATAGCTTTAAAGCGCTAGAAAGCTAAAGGTATATCTAAAATATAATTTAAGTCTAAAGGTTATAAAAAAAGAGAAGTTTCTTCCTTTTACTTATCTATATCTAGACTCTATATAATCTAATCTTAAGAAACTATCCTATAATACCTACAGTTAAGTTTACCTTTACTTATAGCTTCTAAAAGAAAAATATCTTTAAGTAAAGTAAGCTTTAATATATTATATTTAGATTTCTTTTTTACTATTAGTAATATTAAAGGCCCTATTATAATAGGTATTGCATTCTTTAAGCTATTATTATTATTATTATCTATAAGGTTAAATATATTACTATTAATTAATAAATCTTTTAGGAATATTAGGTCTTAATAAGAGAGGCATTTAAATAAGTAACCTTTATTTAGATCTTTAGTTAGATAGCATTATAGTAAAAAAGAATATATATTAAATATACTTTTTTAGATATAAACCTTAATATATTAATATTTATATAAAATTAAATTAATTTAGACTTAATAGATAATAATATAGTAGATATAGCTACTTTAGGCAGTAATATATTACTAAATAACTAGTTATTAGTATTTAGCCTTAATATATAGATAGATTTAGCTAATAAGGATAATAGGTTATAATATATATACCTAGCACCTCTATATAGTTAGGAGCCTTATTTAGATTAAATATTTAATCTCTATATAAAATACTTAGCCTATTAACTATCTGCCTTAAATAGTATAATAAATAAGGTAAATAATAATTAATATAAAATAGTTATTACCTAAAGTAAGTATTTCCTTAATAAAGTATATAATAAAGAGTAAGCTAAATGCATTACTATAGAAGTGCCTATATATTAAAAAATCTATAATTAGGTTAAAGAAAAAGGCTTAAATAAAGGTAAAAAACTAGCTTAATATATTATCTATATCCTTAATGCTAATTTAGTATTATACCTATTAGATTAATATAAAGATTAGGATATATTATACCTTATAACTTACTGCTAATATTTATATCTATATAAAATATAGGCTAGATTTAGCGCTAAAGTTAGCAGGCTATCCTTTATTAAATAAGAGAAATAGTTATAATACTTTAGCCTAAATTAAACTATCTAACCCTTTAATACTTTAATTACAGGCCTCTATTATAACTAGCTGCTATTAGCTAGCTAGCTTAAGGCCTAATTTATAAGCTGGCATAAAGATAAAGAATAGTTAAATATTAAGGTCTGCCTATATTAAAATAATATACTGTAATAAAAGCTGGTGCCTGCTATTTATAATATTAATAGCTTTCTATATATTATAAAAGACCTATATAGCCTAAAAGGGCCGTTAAATATATATATAATAGCCTAATTAAGCCTCCTTCTCTTTAAATCTATTTATATCTATATATTAATATAGATAAAAGAGAAGATTAAATAGGTCTTAATCTATTAAATCCTATATACTATACTTATTTACTAAAGGCTATAAACAGTCTATATATTTTTCTTATGGCTTTATAATAAGAAGTGCTAGAAAAAGGGCCTAATATCTCTATAAAAGAAGTAGAATTAGCTATTTTTTAATAGCTTTATTAGGCTAAATATTAAGAAGATTAGACTGCACTTTATATATTACTTACCTAAAACTTATAACTCTATTTAGGCAGTATTGTATATTGCTATAGAGTTATTAGGCTTAGTGGCTATATATAAGGCAGCCTTTAAGGTACTATATAGTAAGAAAAACCTCTTTAGGCTATAGAGCGTTATATAGAAGGCACTTAATTATATAGAGTATAATATAGCGGCTAATAGGCTTTAATTTAGTAACGGTAGGGGTATATAAGAGATAGAAGATATTAGTAGGCTATAGCAGTTTGGTAATTCTATCTTCCTCTATAGCTATAAGGATATTAAGCTATAGTATTAATCCTTTAGTAATAATATAGTAGGGATGTTAAGAGACTTCTATACCTAATATAGTATTATTTACTTTAAGTAAGAGCTAGCAGCTAGTATTTATAGTAGCAACCTTACTTATAGTAATAATAAAATAGAACTAATAGTATAGAGGTAAATCTAGCTTATAGATATTATATTTAAGCTCTTGCTAATAAGAAGTAGATATACTATTCTGGCTTAGCAGTACTGTTAGTATAATACTTTATATTTCCTCTATA